CAGACGAACACACAGACACACACACACACAGACAACCTCTCGTCAATATGCGTTTTTTGCATTGCAGAGCTGCAAAAAACGCATAAAAATACCGAGAATACCTACGGCGCCCGCGGATTGTTAGTGTAGGATTTCTCTGTTAGTGATGTTATTAGAATAGTCCTCTACACATCAAGTGCAGCTATGCCAGGCCCTTCGATCCCGTGCTGCATACCTTCAGTTAGTACCCATTTGAAAAGAAAAAAATAAACAATTTTATGAAAATCTAAAACCCATGCAGTTCCTAACTTAAGCAAAAAAATGCGTGTGAGAAAAAAAAACGAGTCGGAAACAAAGGACGTGTGACTATAGAGCAACGATGACGGCTCCACTGTGAAAGTTAATAACTGTTAAAAAAAATATTAAGGAAAATCGAAGAAAAAAGGATGGAATTTCCAAGGGTCGAAATTTGATGTTTCATCCTCGATCAGATTTGTAAATCCGAACACTCATCCCAAAATATCCAAGATTATCCGTCTGAAAGTACAAGAAGCAGTTTTACCGTAACATCTCTCGCTCATCCATCCATTGGTTGATCAGATTTTTGATGTCGGCATCATTCTCTGTATAAATTCCATATTTTTCTATCAGAAGTGTCAAGTAATTTGCCCAACTCAACGATCTTTGGTAATCATCATCATTTTGCACTCGAATTTCACGCGCCAACTCCGGTACAATTGCAGCCGTACGCCATCCAAGCATTAACATTGGATCCGCAAGATCCGAGTAGATGTGGTCGCCAAAGTAAAGTACTTGTTTGCCGTGAAACAGCGACTGTTGCGAAAGAGACGTGATGTTGCCCTGCAATAAACCGTTCACAGAAAGACTATGGATGAAAAATTCGGCCGAAAGGACATAAAAATTTAGCTGAAAAATGCTTTGAAGTCAGAGAATTTAACAGCTTCACATTGTGGAGAAAAAAAGCAAGGGACATTATTTGGTTAGAAAACGTCAAATCCGCAATAGACCTATTTTTTTTTTTTTAGAAATTAAAAGCACTCCATGCGACTTACTCTAGCATAGATACTCCCTTTCTTCAAGGATTCCACTCGTTCATACGATAATGTATCATCTTCTTCATGATATCTCCGAAACGGTGCTTGCCCCTGCAATGAAAAACAATACCATGTTAAGAAAAGGTGCGGATTAGATGATCAAAACGAACCAGACTCTTAACAGAGCATTGCACGTAATTTCAACAAGATTGCCTGACTGTTATTGTGGAACACAGGCAGGATACCAGCTCATACAGGCTTGCTTATCTGGAAGTTCTAAATGACACTTCCACTTTTTCCATAACTGTCAAAATTCGATTGTGTTCCTCTTCGCGGTGGACCAAGAACGCCAAACAAACTGCGTATGTTAACACACAGAAGACTTCAGGCCCCCTTCCTCTTCCAAACTCCTAGCCAGAGATATTCATTGTTTGCACCTTTAGAATTTCTGAAACACTTTTGATGTTATTACGATCCAGTGACTGCAATTAAACCAGGCCCTCTTTACCTTGGAATGCTTGTTTCTCGTTTGTCCCTCATTCCGCTAACCTCAAGACAGTTCCAACTTTGAAGCACGCGTATAAACTGAACAAATTAATTCCTTTTTTTGCATTTAAATAAAAAAAGAGTTTAAAATATTGCCTGAAAAAAGTTAGGCTTTTTCGCCATTACTACAATACACTGAAAGAACTTGCGCCAGTCCACGCCAAGCATATAAGTCATTCCTTCGTTTCTGAAATATATCAGAGTAGGAACTGCTATAACTTCAACAAACTCAGCTTAGAGGCCTGGGGTACTGATAAGTACCGCTTACTCTCAGCCTCAAGCCGTTGGTTTAAGCTTGCTAGAGGGTAACCCGAGTTCTACTCCCTGTATTGCAAAATTTCTTCTGATGACAAGTTAGCTCCTGCGCCTAGCAATCGAGCACTTCCAGTTTATTGCTCAAGTCCAATTGGAAAATGAGATCAACGACAGCTGCTTCAGTCCATTTAGTCATATACGTCTTAACTCAACGCCGTGACAGGACCTTGTCAACATCTCAACAAAGGCATTCCGATATTGCGAAGGGCTAACAAACTTTGCAGTGTTTACGACATTTCCACACAGACTGGGAACATTAAAATGCTCAAACAACGAATTCCGAACTGCGAAAAACACCACTAGCCCATCAAGATTTCACTAATTTGCCGAATAACAGGTTAATTGAACCAATCAGCAGCTCAAAAAGACCCCTCACATTCAATTCCATACACAGAAAAGCCGAGAGGGAAGCATGAAAAACGAACACAAACAAGAATGGACTGTTGGTGACCATAAAAAGCTGCTTTCCGTTCGATGTTACACGCGACAGGAACTCCAAAAGGCCGCAATTTTTATGTATATATTTGGCAGTGTCCGCGATGATACAGCTGTACAGATCACCGGATAAGTGAACGTGTTGTACGCTAGCCTAGAATGAGCATGCACTGCTTTAAAAATGCATTTTTGAATTGTTCATGGAATTGGAGCTTCAGAGCGAGAAGGCTTCAAATCATCACCTTCACATCCTGGAACATAGAAAATGGGTCGAAAGCAATTGCATTGTCGTCAAAATACTGGACCACTGTTGATAAAAGACCAGCCCACGGAAGACTGAACAAATCCATGAGCTGCATCAACTGACCGCTCTGCAAATCTGTGAATTAGAAAAACAACAAAAATTTGCTCTTCCAGTAGCTCCTCCTAAAAATTTTAGTGCAACGCAGCAGCCCCCCTTCCCTCCCCCCGCCCCCTCTTTCCCCGCGTATAGAACCTTGGGAATTGAAGCGATCGTTATAGTTAAATGGAGAGCTCACAAACTACAGGCAACGTATGATGAAATTCACCTTGGAATAATACAAATTTGTACTCACCACGGTGTGTGTTAGCGTAAAACTCCCATATATTTTCAGAATATCATCTTCGGAAAGTTTCTTACGGCCACGATAAGCAGTACCACTTTGTATTTGTGAAAATGCATCGATCTTAAAATCAAGTATTTTACACGGTTTCATCGTTTCAGTTAAAATCTGATACATTAGCAGTGAGGTGCACAGGATACTATTTCAATGCTTAAACAGAAAAAAAGGAGAAATATATCTAGGGTTTAATAAGCCAAATCCTGAGGAATCGAAACGGATGTTAATCTAATTACCAAACGGTGCAGCACCAGTCAACTCCGCAGCTGAAGGAACAGACTAAAACAGCTGACCCAGATGAGACTATTCTGAGTGGATTCAAAGAGATTTTACTGGCCCTAGTAGCAGATGCTGATTTTAACAGGCAATCCTTGAAATAAAAATCTGATCTCCGATGAATCATGCAAGTCAAGGCAGAAATTGTGCTTATTTTTAGGATTTAAGGCTTTTTTTTCTTGGACGATTAAAACATCGAAATCGCTTAGTTTTTCCAACATGGCCTAACTGGCAAGAATCTTCCCCACTGTGCCACCGAGTGCGAATTGGTCTCCAGGCTGACCGAACTCTTCGACACCTCACTATCGAAAAGAACCACTGAACTGTCCAGAAACAGGTACTCGAATCAGCAGCTCAAGAATGGGAAATGAATTGTCACATAATATATCAAATAATGATTTATGGTTTTTTGTTAGAAATGGAGTAAAGAACAACTGCGTCACTATGATGTAGTACCCCGATCCCTGATTCAAATTTTGAACACTCTACCATCGTTAAAGTTTTGCAGTCCCGGTAATCCCTGACCCCTGAGGTATAAAAGAACTCCTCCCCATTCCCGGGATCCCACACCTAGTTCCAGCTACTTGAGAAGCTAATCACTTCTTATCCCTGTTCTGGGGAGCTTCGGCTCATCACCTTTTTTGTACTGCCTTTTATTAATTTACGTTTTGTTACATTACTTTAATTAAATCATGTAATTATAAATAAATATATATATACATAACTAGGTGTTTACCAAATACACACAGGGCACGCCACTAGTCTAGATTCCCTAAAGTTCCTGAAGAAAGCTCATCTCCTGAAGCTAAATCATCTGCGCTTGTGCGAATTAGTCTATGTACAAAAGACGTACCTTCAGAAGGCAACAGTTTGCGACGTCGAAATGAAGTCCTCGGATTGCGAACAGTGGATCATACGGCACAGACAAAAGACCTCGCGGATACTGAGAGATAGAGTTATTTAATTCAGCAGCAAACAGGTAAGACAAGACCGATAAGGATACTCAGAGACCTAAAACCCACGCCTCGATCATTGCTCCGAAATTTTTGGATTACGGTGGGGAAAATTTTCCGAGATCTAGCAGCTGCTTAACTTACAGATGGTCACTTGCTTGAGGAAGGGACAAGTTCTTGCTGAACTGGGGAATTCAGGCCGCATTCGTGAGAAGAGAAAACGGCAAATTTGAAGTTTTGCAAAAATGTTAGAATCGGTAAAAAGATGTTACACCTGGAAAAAGGGCTTGAGACAGTCTATGGTCAGTGTAATTAAACCACGGAAGCAGCTGTCCTCATCAATCTCCAGTTCAGAAAAATCGCGAATAAACAATAGAAAAGATTATGTGATGCGGACCTTATGGTGCTTCAAAAGTCGCTGGATAGAAAGATCGTAAATGAGTTTATGCGCCGCCGTAGTGTAAACAGCCAATGTGTAATCATAGTCAAACCCGTAAATGGAAATATTCTTCAGATGTAGCGTATTATTGCAAAATACCCCACGTGGATTCACACGGGTCTCACGTGGCATCGCAACTGCTTTCTTCGTTAATTGGTAGATAGAACGTAAACGCTCAGCGGTTACAGCCATTGTAGTAAACTTCCTCCTAGCAGCCATTTTTTTTGACTAACTCGGCAAAATCCTGGAAAAATTTTCGGTATTCCCACATTTTTCAGTAAACTTTCCCGCATATTTCATAAATGGTTCCGAATTTTCCGGATGATCTTCTCGAGATGCAGTGAGATTTAGAAAGGCCGGCAAAGTAAAAAAACAGCAACCAAAAGGGAGGCACCCATATTTTGCATGAAACAATCAAAACAGCGAAGCATTTATTAACAAAATGCAAGAAACGTCGTTTAACGATGGAAACACAGTGACTCTCACATCCTCAACGGAGAAAAACTAAAAAGGACCGGTGGTCAGTTGGTAACTAAGAGTACGGTTATTACGAGCGAGCTTCCAGTTAGAGTCAGTGTTCGTACGTCAGATATCAAAAACTGGCTTGAGAACTGAAAGATGTCAAATTTCACAAAAGGGAACAAAAACCCACGTCAGGCAAGATTAATCCAGAAATATTTCGCTGAAAAAGCCTCACTTCCGATCCGACGAGGTTCAAAAAGGTACGACCTCTTTTCTCTGAGTGTGTCGCATCATTCCTGAACATCAACATATCAACACTTCAGAAACACAGAACGGTTACAGAAAAAAAAAAAAAAAAAAAAACCATCAGTTTTAGAAAGTAAAAAACAGGAACATAAAAGCTTCACCGAGTTTTTCACTGCCAACAAAGCCAATAGTAAAAAAGACATTCGCAGCTAACATCAAATATAAGGAAAACAAAAATTCTGCATGGTAAATTTCGCCAGTATGCGTGCGCTCGTGGTGTGGTTGAACCGTTTTCGTGCTTGAGACATTATGCTCAAATCATAGCCGTGTACCTGAGGTGCGAAGAAGAGAGTTAATCCGAGCTGCCACGCACCAGGTCTGCCGGCCCGATCACGTGTTTATGCACTAAACTTGAACAGTCGGGTTGTTAACTGCATGAATAGTTGTCGTCACACATTTTCTTTGTGTACTCATTAGTGTAAATCATCGTAAATTTGGAACTAAAAAAAATGAAAAATTCCTGTTAAATGGTCACTGAGAATGACCTCAGCTGTTCACTGCAAGAATTTTTACGTGCCCGCACGCGAAAATCACGCATGCCCGGTGGCTGATTTTGAAGCCTTCAAAATTTGCATTAAATAGGGTAAATACTGTCATACTGACGAGACCCAGTTGTGGACTTCAACAATTAACAACTATTTTAGTGTGTTATATATGTATATATATCTAACACACTAAAATTCGCAATCAGAGCGTGTTCGAATCGCTCGATAGCCCGATCCGTAGCCAGCAGGCGTTGCTCCACTCCCAGGTACTTATAGGCTTCGGTGGGGGCCAACATTGGTAAATCTATACCGCCACCTCTACCTGGATCTGTCCTATCGCCGGACTTATAGAGCAGCACCGTCCGGCCTTTCGCAAACCATGTACCGGGAACTTTCCCGCTATTCAGCATTTGCAGTGCGAGCCTACCGAGCCGAGCGTAAGCCCAGGGGAGCTTTTTCCACCAGAAGGCCTGGATCCCGTCGGGGCCAGGAGCCTTCCAGGGTTTAATGTGACGTACGGCCGCGTCAAAAGCCCCCTGTAGCCGGCCAGATTCGATAGCGCTGGTTGCCGGATAA